AGTATAGTTCTTTATCTTTTTTGCTCTACATTAAACTCATGTATAAGTGATGAGATTAACTTATAAATTATATTTTGTCATTAAAATAATCTAAAATTGTATAAAATATTTGTTTGCAGTTTAATTTTGCAAGAAATATTCTTGAATATTGTTTACATAAATTATTTAAAAAAACATGAAAAGCTCTCTTTTATATATTAAACGTGAAAACTACGTTTAAACATCCAAGCTGGCAGTTTTATTATTATAAATGTTGAATAAACAGGTCTGTTTTATTCAATACATACAAAAATCATTATGTTGATTATTCATTTGCCTGCTTTTATCACATATCACACATCAGTTCCCAGTAGATCACTGCACTCTCTTCCTAAATTATTCATTTTCAATTGATTCTCTCTAACAGTTAAATCAATTAGTTTGACTGAAATATAAATGTAACAAAAATAGTTAACCAAGTGAAATTATGATAAATAGATCCCTCTTGAATAATTTAAATCTCTCTCATAATGTTGTATAAAGAAGCTTATACGCTTAACAACAATAAATGTAAAATTAAATTAATATTGTAATAAATTAACTATCTAATTAGTATTTTGAAGTTAAATATATTAAAACTTAATTCTGAAATTTGTATTATTTCTCATCTTCAGTATTTTATAACGCTTGAAAATAAATACAGTAGAACCTCGATTATCCGGACTAATTGGGGATGAAGGTAGTCCGGATAAGGAAAAATCCGGATAATCGAAACAAATACTTTAATTTGTCTTTTAAAGATAATACAACACGTTTTCTTTTCGATGACATATCGGTAATATTAAAAGTAAATACTGTATTTAAACCGTGATCAAATTTTCAAGAAACAAACGTTCGTATTGAATTTGAACCTCTACTGACTAACACTAACAGACTACCTATTGTTTAAAAGGTCCTCTGGTGGCGCAAGAAGACGGATTTTATAAAATAAAAAGCAGTTGAAACTGCATTTTTATGAATAAAAATTTGACAAACTATTTATCGTTTCATGACGAGTAAAATTTTTTAGTCGCGTTCGCGGCTTTTAAGTAATGCATAAACCTTCGAGGCGCGAGGCCCTTCAGACGCGAGGCATAGGCGGTGGCTCACGTCGTCCATGCCTTACGCCGCCCTTGGTCATAGAAATGATGCAATTTGAATATAAATTATACGAATGTCAAGTTATATTTTTATTACTACGTAAAATATATTTAAGAGTTTATGACCACTGTGCTGGGTGAGACGTTGTTGAAACAAATAAAGTTATGCATTCCATCACGTACATAAACAGTATCGTAATTTGCCAAGTGCAAATCGGCAAATTCGTAAAATTTTTGTTTATTTTGAACAATCCGGATAATCGAAAATCCGGATAATGGAGGTCCGGATAATGGAGGTTCTACTGTAATTTTAATTAAGAACTTCAAACTGGATAAATTTAACAGTTATGAAACAAAAGAATCTTTAAAATCCAGCATAATTTATTAAGAATGAATGACTATCAGCATTTGTATGTATATTTTTGAATTAGTTCCATTCTAGAACATTATAATGACTAATGAAAGCATTTGCTCTTAATAAATTTTCCTATATTTTAAATGTGCTTTGTAGTCAGTCATATGATGAATTCAAATACATTTAACATTGTAAAGTCGAAAGAATAACTCGTGAGAAATTGTATTTTATCAATTTACAGGAAACTCCGTAAAGTTAAAATAAAACATTATATTTGCTTAGATGGAATATTCCATTAATTAATATTTTATTAATGGAAAATCATAAAATACAAGATGCTGTCAGATTTGTAGTGGCAGATTGAGTACTGCATAATTCTCTAGAATATACAAGAAGTCACAATCCAGTTTTGGAGCTATTAAAAAAAGTGCAGCCTTATTACCCCGTTGTAATGACTGTGTGGCTTCTCTTTATGTGTTAACATTTTTTGAAGCATACTATACCTTCAAATTTTGTATTTTCTCCTATTATATTATTTAAGAAGTTATTAAACGGATATTACAGTTCAAAAACAGATGATAACTTTGAAAGATTTAAACATTGTGTGATATGAAATTTTTATATAACTAAACACAAAAATAATTTACAAAAACTTAAAAAGAAATTGACAAACTTGGCACCATGTTTATATATAAATAAATGAGATAACTGTATAATTGAAGAAGTTGAAAACTAATATATGAAATAGTTTGATCAATTACATGATTATCTTTAGCAAAAAAAAAAAAAACTTATATTTAACAGAATAAATTCAGTGGTTTTTAAACTTTAACAGTTTTAACTGAAATTTAAGTGTATAAAGATTGTATCTTTCTTAACAATACATTTACCAGCATAAGTAACTAATTTTTAAATCCTTATTGTATCTAATAAAAAAAATAATATTTTACTGACAGAGATTCAGTGTAAGCTATATTAAGTTTAAATTCAGAATTGTATAATAAATTGGATTGCCAATATGAATAATTTATTATCGTATTTTGTTAGTTTTTCTTTCAAACTGAATAAAAATAGTCTTTTTTTAGATTCTATTCAAATGAAAAAGAGGCTATTTATATAAAGTTAATACAATAAAAACAGACAATAGAAATTCAAAAAGATTCTACTTCTGTAGAAACAAGCAACAAAAAGTAAATATTAACTTGTATTATTTTTTAAAAGCTTTTAATTTCGACCTAAATTTAGAATATTTTTCTAGGTTGATAGATTGTTATCTTACTATAAAAATCAGAATTACATTCAGGTACCATTTGGAGACAAAAATTATAGTTTTTAAAACTAGAACACAGGTATGTGCTGCTTAACAACAGATAATATTTACAACAGTGGTTCATTAGATTACGATAAAGCTAAAAAATTTGTAGCTACCTGCATCTTTTCTATGTTACATACATAAATATTTATATTTTATTAAAATTTTAAAGTATAACTGTGTAGTATTATATGCATAGCAAACTATATCATACAGATTTATCTAAATACACTCTACAATATATGCTCAATGATATTTTCTCAACATATCTCCATTGTTAAGTAGCACATATCTATATTAATACAGAAGATCAACATAATGAAACACCAGAAATAAATTTAAAACTTTATTCTGACACTATAGGACTGTCTTAGCCATTTTAAATATTTAGAGAAGAGACTACAAAAGAAAGTTGATCCCACTGTGTGATTTTGTTTGTTCGGTGTAAAAAGAATAAAACTTTGTTTCTTCTATTTACAAATATGTAGTTATTGTTATGTGAATTTAAAATAGTTTGTATTTTAGATTTATTTATATCAGGTTTAATTTTATCCCAGTAAAAATTTTATTAATTATTTTAAGTATAGAAATCATACAAAGTAAATTTCACTTAACAAAAGCTTGCTATTTGACCTTCCAATTTTGCCAGTGGAATAAGTTTTACTGTCATAATTGTGTGTGTATATTTAAAAGCCATATTTTTGTTGGCATCTTGATATAATATTATACAATTCAAACAGTATATTATTAAAATTAGATATCAATTAATATTAGTATTAAAAAACATATTAAGCAATGTAAATTTTTCATTCTAGTATCTTACTATATATTATACAGTGGGCATTAGACATGTAAGTAACAGGTTCAAATTATTATTGTTTTATCATATTAAAGTGAATTTTGCTGGATTTTAGTGATTTTTGTGTTGTTATTTTATATTATATCTAGTTCTAAGTTAATTGTGGTTGTGGTTGTTTCCAAATTAAATTTTATAAAAATTACTGTGATTAAATTTATAAAACTCCACTTACTAGGAATAAAAATATGCTGGTTTTAGAATAGCATTTTTTTCTTCCCTAAAAATCAATGCTAAACATAAGTTTAAATAGTTATTATAACCAGTATATTATACTAGTAACTTCTTTTAAGAACTTTTGAGTTAATACAAAATGGAATCATCATCTTCCTCATCCTCATCCTCTTCTTTGAAAAATTTTCAAACAAACAAAAATATATCATAATTAATTATTGACACAAATGGATTTATATATATATATATAATTTCACTTATTAAACAAACCTAATTGACAGCATTATTTAGATTTTTAATGAAATTTGCCAGTACTCATGGAATTAAAATTCCATAAATTAATAGTGTTTGCTAAACATTTATTTGTGGAGTTTTAATTACTTTATTTAAGGATTTTTTATTCTAAATATTAGCACCAATGATGATCAGAATGCTTTGACAATGAAGTCTGGTATAAAATTGGTATAAAATGATTTTTTTTTTATGCATTATGTCAAACTTATTCAAAAATATCATATTATTTTTATTTATCTTTGATAAATTTTAATATATTACTTTTCAAATAATCAATCGTGGAAGTGTATTATGATACTTAATTTACCTAATTTCCTATAAGAACTAATTAGTCCAAAACAATTGCCTTGTCTAACAAGGCAAACATTGTTTTGGACTAATTAGTTCTTATAAAAAAATTAGTAAATATTATTTTTCAATAACAACCTTATTATATTTAAACCAGGTAATTGCTGGATATAATATCAGTTTTATAAGATGTCTTAGACTGTTATTTAATTTCGGCTGTATTAATAATAATATGTGTATATATCAAGAAATCAGTAGAACGAAGAAAGCATAAAAACATATTATATCAAAAGTGTTGTTAGTAAACTTATAATTTTTCAAAATACCATGATGTAGTTTTATAATGTGCTTATAAAATTATTATATAAATATATCTACATAGTATAAGTAGGATTAAGAAGCTTACATAATGCACTTTCTATAAGTAGGTCAACCAGTCAATCAGTGATAAAGTAATAAGTTATAAGCAGTTGATAAGTGCTTTTTAATATGATAACAATTATTATATTGGCTTCTTTTATATGGATATTAAATTAATAATATAATTTAAGCAATTTTATAATGTATTATTATTGATTTTTATGCATTTTTTTATTTATTTAGGTGTCATTTATGATCCGTGATGAAGTTGAAAAATATCATAAATCTGGTATTAATTCCCTTCAGTTTGATACTTATTTAAACAGATTGTACTCTGCTGGCAGAGATTCAATTATTCGTATATGGAATGTTCGGAATAATAAGGTATTAATAATAGTAATTTATGTCTTTACTTTTATTTTTTTAAATATAATTCTTACAAAACACATTTTTTTTTCATCCACAATAACATTTATACCAAAGATTTGTTAGATTCTATATTCAAATAACAATTTACATGATATAGACAATATTTAACAAGTTTATATACTATTTAGATGATTTCTTTAAATTAAATTTTAAAGTATAACTGTGTAGAAACTAAGTTTATTTACATCTTAAATGCTTTTAGATTTTTAAGAAGCTTAAAATATCATTTTTAAAGTCAATAAGTATTAGACTTTATGTGCGATTTATTAACTATTGCTATTATTTTTCATTATGCAAATTCCATTGCTTCTAAACAATATTTAATTTTATGGCAAGAAATTCTACCTTTCTTCAGTTAAATATAGAATATTTAGTTGCCAGGAAAGTTCAAGCAGGTTTGTTGGCAGTTATATTGTTATAAATTTGTATAAAAATATGCTACTGTATATTGTAGAGAGAGAAGCAATTCTTGAACAAATGAACTTAGTTTAAAGAGAGTAATGTAAATGAAAGTAAAAAATGAATGACTTATGATATTATAACTATTAATGATATTAACTTCTAGAAAGAAATAATGTAATCACTGTGAGAAAAAAAAAAATTTAAGTTAATAGAAAAGAAATTGTTTACAAAGAATTCATCATAAATGATTTTCAAGATTTTACAACAACAGTTTTAACATTAGTAATTAGTAATTAGTTGGGCTTGGGCTTAAGGAGTTAATTAAATTAATACTATGAGCACGAATACCAATGAAAGTTAATAGTGATTAAATCTTTATATTAATTTAAAAAGACAAAAACACAGTGGAGTTCTTTGAATTTTGAGTGTCTACACTGTACCCATAAAAAATGACAGGGTAGCACATGACTTGGTATACATTATACAGTAGAGCATCGTTTATCCAAAAGTCGGTTATTTGAAACGTCGGTTATCCAAAAGAATTCCAGTTGTCAAATTTAAATTTTTGCTAGTGCTGTGGCGCTGGAATCTTTGGCTATGTCTTGGGCTACTCAAATATTTTACGTTTTTGATACTAAATTAACTTCTAAAGTATAATTTTTTTATTGTTTTTATATTTTTCAATATATTTATTTTGTTTGTACAAAATAAAGAAATAATTTTTAACGATACAATAGCCATGATTATTGTTTTAAAAAGTTTACGTTAGGCTTAACATCGATGAAAATTCAACGCAAAGCGACATGCAACGGAGAAAAATTTCAGGATGGGATAGTTTAATATATTTTTTCGTACATAATCGGTTATCCGAACAACCCCAGTCCCCAATTGATTCGGATAAACGATGCTCTACTGTATTACATTACATTACATTACATTATTATTTATTAACGTATTGGTACAATACATACTTGGTACCGCTAAGTATAGCCGAGTGGGAACTACTGTATATACAAATAGCATAAAGATACAGTAAATTAAGGAATTAAATTACAGTATTGTAACATCTAGTAAGGTGTAGGGTTGTAGCTGGAGACAGTAAAATATATTACAATACAGTATAGTATATACAGATGGTTTAGTTGCTAGTGGCAAGAGGGGCAATTGCCTCATGTTTCTTTACAAGTTGATGGAAAAGCTTGAAGAGTATTTTATTTTTTAGAAGGTCACTGTGTTGGCAGGGCCAATGGATGTTCATACTGGGCGGTCACTTTGATGGCAAGTCTTTCAGTCTGAAGGGAGATACAGCTGAATAAATGGTGGTCAGAGTTGTCTGTCTGGCTGCATATGGCACAAAGAGGGATACTTTTATTGGTAAATCTGTGTAGGTAGTTTGAGAACTTTCCGTGGTTTGTAAGGAACTGCGTGAGGTGATAGTCAGGAGTCACCCATTTGTATTTGTTGTGGTAGTCGGTGATGTTAGGAATATACTTGTAGGTGGTTTCGTTGTGTCATTCAGACCAGGATGATTGCCAGCGACTTAAGATATCCTTGTATGTAATTTTTCTCACTCTGTCGTGACTGATTTTGTTGTAGATGGTGGTAAGGGAGTCATCAACAGTCACAGCCTTCACCAGCTGATCAGCCTGCTCATTTCCCTCTGTGTTCTGGTGCCCCCTGGTCCAAGTAATATGGTATGAGTTGCTGGAGTGAAGGATTAAGTGCCGGATGGATGTGGCTATTGGATGGAGTTTGGTGCCGCAAATTAGTTTGATGGCAGAGGAGGAGTCAGTAATGATGTGAATGCTGTTTTCTGTGTGCCTTTGCTCAATCCAGTTAATGGCCATATTTATGGCTAGAATTTCAGATTCGAAGGCAGTACAGGTGTTATGAAGTCTGTTCTGTTGTGAGTAGACTTTCATATTGTTGCAGTAGGCAACAAAAGCACAGCCTATTGAGTTGTTGTGGTCAGAGCCATTCGTATAGATGACAAGATCAGGATTGAGGGGCGAGCTGTTATCAATAAGGTTGTTGATATGGGGAGGTATGGCCTGGATGTAAGGACTCAGATATTTGTAATTATAGGCCTGGATGTTGCAAGTTGGAGTGGAGATGTCATTCCCATTCTTGAGGCTCCAGATACTTTGTTCCATCCTGATGATTTCAGTGATGGGAGTTTGCGAGAGATCACTTGCAAACTGCTATTTGGAGCAGTACAATATGTTCTTGTTATTAAAAGGAGTGCTTTTCATTGGGAGGAGATCAACTTTCTATGTAGATGTGCCTTCTGAGCGGCGTCTCCCCAGCAAAGACAGCCATAGGTGATGATGGGAACGTAGATATGGTCGTATATGACACTGAGCGCCTCAGGATTGAGGCCCCAGCCTTTCCACGCAATCTGTGAGAAGGCGTGAAAAATTAAACTAGTGCATTTGGCGATGTATTTGATATGAGTGTCCCAGCTGAGACGAAAGTCCAGCCAGACGCCAAGGTATTTAATACATTTTTCGACCTTAATAGATTGGTTATTTATTCTCACAGTTGGGGTGCGGAGGTACAGGTTAGGTTTACCTGGTTTGTTAAAGACGATACTGGTGGTTTTGTTTGGATTGAATACAAGCTTGTGGCGAGTACCCCAATGGTAGATCCTGTCAAGGATCTTGCTACTATGCTGTTCCAAGACTGCATGGGATCTTCCTTCAATCAAGATAAGGATGTCTGAGCATAGGCAGTTGTGGCATCCTGACTGAAGTCTTCTTGTAGGAAAGCATTAAAGGTTAAGTTCCACAGAAGCGGCCCACAGACCGACTCCTGTGGGCAGCCACGCTCTACTTCTCGTTCGACAAGATGGGTCCCATACTGTAGAACAGCTTTGTGGTCATGCAGGTAATCTTTAAAGAGGTTGTAGATGTTGGCAGGGCATGCAGCTCTCCTGAGCTGGTAAAGGACGAACGGCCACCAGGCACTATCAAACGCCTTTGACATATCAAGTCTGATGGCCAGAACGTACTTATAATTGTCCAGCAAGTTCTTGATGGAATGGACAGCATGGTTGACGGTATCATTGGTGGAGAGTTGAGGCCTGAAGCTGAACTGAGTACTGTTAAGTAAGGAATTGTATTCAATATTCCAAGTTAGACGATCAGTGAGGAGACATTCTAGAACTTTGCCAAGTACAGTAGAGCGTCATTTATCCGAATCAATTGGGGATTGGGGTGGTTCGGATAACGAATCATGTACGAAAAAATATATTAATTTATCCCATGTTGAAATTTCTCTCCGTTGCGTGTCGCTTCACGTTGAATTTTCGTCGATGTTAAGCCTAACGAATAATATTGTATCGTTAAAAATTATTTTTTTATTTTGTACAAACAAAATAAATTTATTGAAAAATATAAAAACAATAAAAAATTATACTTCAGATGTTAATTTAGTATCAAAAACGTAAAATATTTGAGTAGCCCGAGAAATAGCTGAAGATTGCAGTGCCACAGCACTAGCGAAAATTTAAATTTGCCGACTGGAATGCTTTCGGATAACGGACGTTTCGGATAACCAGCTTTCGGATAACGGACGTTTCGGATAACCAGCTTTCGGATAAACGACGCTCTACTGTATAGGTAGCAAGGAGATTGGCCGGAGGTCTTTTGGCCTGCCAGGTTTTGGTATGGGCACAATTTTAGCAGTTTCCACTTGCGGGGAAAAATACCTGAGTTCAGGCAGATGTTAAACATGTCTGTTAGTTGCTGGGGAATGATGTTCCAGATTTTTTTTGCTAGCTTGGCGTTAATGCCGTCAGTGCCAGGAGCTTTGCCCTCTTTTAGCTTTTTGAAAGCATTGTGTATTTCGTGGTAGTTGAATTCAGGGGAGTTGTCTGTATTAATAGGGATGTTCACAGTATATGTGGGAGCCACCATGCAATCCTAAACTTCACTATTAAAGGAACATAAGTATGCATCCCTGGCTGCTTACATCTTAGATGATTTCGTCAAGGTTCATTAGGAAGAAGCTAAAGTCACCAAGCATGTCAGAAACAAGCACATTAAGGTTCTTGAAATCCATAAATTAATGCATAAGGGGAACTCCATCAATTATAAAGACCTAAACATGAATAACACATACCTCAGAAAAACCTTTAACCGATGCTAAATAAAATTTAACAGTACAAACGTTTTCAGACCCCTCCTGGGTCCTTCTTCAGGTAAAAATCGTTTGAAAATTTACTAAATACAAAAAATATTCGTTTGGAACGATTTTTTAAAATCGAAAAGATAGAATGGAATCACGTGACCTATAGCTCTGTGACCTGTGATGTTCAGAGCTATAGGTCACGTGATTCCATTCTATCTTTTCGATTTTAAAAAATCGTTCCAAACGAATATTTTTCGTATTTAGTAAATTTTCAAACGATTTTTACCTGAAGAAGGACCCAGGAGGGGTCTGAAAACGTTTGTACTGTTAAATTTTATTTAGCATCGGTTAAAGGTTTTTCTGAGGTATGTGTTATTCATGTTTAGGTCTTTATAATTGATGGAGTTCCCCTTATGCATTAA